ACCGGCGAAAGCAAATGCCTCTCTCTTTCAAAACTCGTTGAAGACAGGCAATGGTCCAGTCCGAGACCTTCGACGGTAAAGAATCTTCGGGAGACCTCACCCGGGCGTGGGAACAGCGGCGTTTCCTCGAAGTTGGACACTGAGATGGTTTTGATTTCCGGGGTGCTCCGCGGAGCTGGAGACGTGTTTCAGAGTGATCCGGCATGGAGCTCCGCCTTGAACTTTTGCTGGAGGTGGGTCGACCTCTAATAGCGGTTCGGAGGTCGTAGTTTCGCTGGGATGAAGAGCGACCAGAGCCGTTGTATTGCTGAAGCGAGTGGAGAGAGGAGAGAGGAGGAATGGATACAGCCGAGCGGCGAGAACGGCCGCTGGAGCGCTCCCCGGACGGGCCGGTGGTAATCAGGCTTTCCACGGCTGCCCCGCTTGGAAATACAGGCTGCGGATCCAGGACTGCCAGGGGAAATTCAGGCGGAGAAAGAATGAGGACTTCGTTCAATGGGCTGAGCGACAGGGAATCCATGGTAATGAGCCGAAAGGGTGAGTAGGATTTTAAGCTCTTAGAAAGTTCGCCAGAGAACAGCGGGTATTGGAGAAGGGGGCATTTATAGTCTGAGGTCCGAAGGGGCGTGAAGGAGGAGTGTTCCCGCTCCTGAATTTCAGATGATATCTCCACTTACTTCAAGGCATAATTAAAGAAACATAGGCATGAAAAGCTTATGAAACTATTAAAAGGTGTGACACACGCGGCTGTTTCATGAGTTTAGCCTAAGACAAATGGTGACATTGAAAGACATTCCTTTCCTGTGTGAAGCGCATCACATTTCTCACAGTTGCTGGTGTTTGGATTGACTTTGCAATATTTGCAATGACCCTTTTGTCACACTTCCCGATCTCATCCTCCTGAGCAGCTGAACCTCAAGACAAAGTTTGATGATGGAGCAAATCAGACAACGTATTTGTGGAGGTCCATAGGCCACACATTGTGAAAAAGTACGACACATATATGCATCAAGGACAGACTGACATGAAAGAAATGTGCTTTTGATCTAATAATCTTAGAACTGAAAGAGAAATGGACCTGGAAACAGCTGGAAACAGCTGGAAACAGCTGATGGCAACAAACAGTTTCTGAGTGGAAGTGACAAAGAAGAGAAAAAACAAACTCTGGTTATTTTATTACCCATGTCCTTTATTTATTTTTTTGGT